ATGTGCCATCGAAGGTGGAAAATGTTTCTAAAGATGAAGCCACGTTTGCCTGTTGTTCTGTTGTGGGAGCTGCAGGCCTCTTCCCACAGCCCGGCTCCTGACCACCTGGCTAGCTTATGCTCCGAAATAATAACACACAAACTGTATTCTTTTAAACACTGCTTGGCCCATTATATCTAACCTCTTCTTGGCTAACTCTCGCACCTGGACTAGCCCATTTCTAATAATGTGTGTAGCACCCCAAGGTGTGCTTACCGGGAAGATTCTAGCTTATGTCCATCCTGGGTCGGAGCTTCATCGTGTCTGCCCCAGAGAGGAGAGCTATCGAGTCTGAGCTCACTTCTTCTTCCTCCCAGCATTCTGTTCTGTTTACTCCACCCACCTATGTTCTAACCTATGAGGGTCAAGCAGTTTCTTTATTTTTTAACCAATGACCTTCCTCCATCATTGTTCTAATTCCTCTCACTCATCACTTTCTGTAAGCTACAAGGCCCCAACCCAGCCCACAATCTGTTTCTGCAAATAAAGCTTTAGTGACACACAGTCATATCCAATAGTTTCCTTCCTGTCTACGGCTTTTTCAATGCCACAAGGACAGTGTTGAGTAGTTATGAGAGAAACTGATGGACCCTGAAGCCTGCATTTGCTTTTTGACCTTTATGAAGTTTGCTAGCCTTTGATCTACAAGCATATTCTGAGCCATTGTGCTCTCTGGGCTTATGGGGTTCCTTAAAGGAAGTCTATAGCATGCTGGGAAAGACTGAGGGACTGACACTGGGGGGCTGAAGATGAAGATCACGTCTGCCCAGTGATCTGGGGACCAGACTAAGAGGAAGTCAAGAGGACAGAGACGCCAGGGAGAGAATGGAGCTCTTCCATCTGTCCACAGTAAAAATGGGCGGTGCCATACTTCCGCAGATTAAAAAGATGCTTCCATGGGCTTACTTCTCATAAAGCGTTATGACCAGGTTTAGCTAGGAGGTCACACACAGTTTCAGTAAAAGCTGGCAGACAGGCTTCTGTGAGGCAGAGGCAACCTGAAGTGGAGAACATAATCCATGCACCATGCAGCTTCTGGACCCCTGCCTCTAGCAGTCTTGTGATTAATGTGCAAACCAGGAAGACATTCAGTTGGCTGCCTTGGAGTCCTGTGAGCATTTAACAGTCACTAAATAGTTATTAAGTGTATGTTCCTAGAGCTTGAAGCGCTTGCACAGTGGTATCTTACAATCAAATAAGGAAGAGTATTTAAGGGTGGATCCAGATAAATGCACTGTATGTTAACAGGACAAAGGCTGGGCAGGAAAATCGGGAGGGAAATATCTGTCATCTATGTAGGCGTTATCCAACTGAGGCTAGCCGCTGTGCAAAGGAGAAAGGAGTGTGTTACACAACGCAAACCACTAGAGAGAAGAAAGGAGAGAGACAGAGATGAAGAGAGACAGAGAGAGAGAAGGAAGAAAAAAGGAGAAAGCGAGAAATTTATAAACATTTTTGGATGAATGAAAAAAATCTATTTTTTAAAGCCAATGTTTGATGCTAACTTGGGGTTTCTACATGTGATTCACTCATTTGTCACCAAAATGGCTCCTGGTCTGAAAGGACGGCACAGTGTTAGCGAAAATGGGCTTTCAAACAGCAGTGTTTGCAGTAATGATAAAATATGGTTTTCTGTCGCCCGTTTGGAGGCATGTCGCCAGCACACTGGAGCCATGCCCTCAAAGCGTAGTCAAGTTCGGTTTTAAGGGGTGCCACCAATTTCGGCATGGGCATTGGGACTCGTCTATTTAAACTTGAACATTCATCCTGAGTTGGAAGCAGAGATCATGCTTGTGAGATCAACCTTGCAGGTGAGGTCATATTAAAAGAGGGTGCTATAATGACCACACACTGCCCTGCCCTAGTTCAAAGCCGGGGAGTGCACAGCTGCCAGTGAGGAGGAAGTCTGCACAGGGCTGGGAGAGATGTGACCTCTCCATAGCTTCCAGAACAGTTTTGGAGCTGAGGGAGAGGAATCTTGATGAAAGATGCAGGACTTCCTGGGGATTCATGACTTCTTTCTTTGTAAAGTTTTAGATTTGAGTTATTGGATAGGGGTACATGTGTGTTTGTGCATATGCACCCAGAGGCCAGAGGTCAACCATAATCTCCTTCCTCCAGATCTTTCCTCCTTATTTTCTGAGGTGGAGTCTCTCACTGGGTGCTGCAGCCACAAAGACTCTGCTGACCACACCTCAGAGCATTGGTATGACAGGTGTGTGCCACCATACCCCCCGCTTAATGTGGCTTCCGAGGATCGTACTCCCAAGTCCTCATACTTACATGGCAACTGTTTTACCAATGTCCTCAGCCCTCGCATAGCATTTACTGTTTATAGAAAGGCCGGCCTGAGGCATCTTCCCAACACCCAGCTTCCTCACACGGGGTATCGCCAATGTCCTTGTTCTTACAGCCCAAAAAAGGAAAGCCCAGCCCCCAGCGCTGAACACTGATGAAGTCAGAGTCTTAAACATCTGTCCACATCAAACTTACCCCCAAGAAAGTCAGACCTAAGCCCAACCCAGAAAAGGGAGAAAGCTCCAAGCACTTCCTCTCCTCAGAGCAGGATGCCCTGCTGGCTTAGCCCAAATCCAGTGAGCCTAGATCACCTGCCACTCAGAGGTTTGACTGCCTCTGCAAAGTCCCAGAGGGGCTGAGGTATTGGAGCAATTTCCACCTGAGGTCATTTATCTGCTGTTACGATTTGTAACTTTTTATGAATCTGCCTGCTCCTCCGGCGAGAGATGCTCAGACGCTCTTAGCCTTCGGAAGCCAGGGCTGCACTCTGCGTACCAGGTGCCTGGTGAGAACTGTTCGAGTTCATACTGACTGAAATTGCTCTCCTTGCCTGGAGTTCCTTGGAGACCAAACAGTGCAGTAAAACAATTACGCGGGGCTGTGTGGAGCCAGCTGACAGCTGAGTAGATGTTTGCATGTTGCTGAAGTCTGCATCGGGCTTCCATCCCACAGAAACAAGAAATTCCTGACTGCTGGGCAATGTTCAGACCCTGAAGGCTGTGTAAAACGCCATTCTCACTCTTAGGGGAAAGTGTATATTTTAAAGAAGTGGATCCATAACATTTTTAATACACATGGAAGATCCTTTTCTAAGGGACAGGCAGGACCGTTGTGTGATACGAAATGCAGATTGTCACGTCTACTGTCCCTCAGATCTCTGTGGCATCTCAGAGACTGTGCGTGGCTTCAATCATGGGAACCGTCTCATCATGATAATATATTTTAATCTAGACCACAGGTTTGAGGGGACCCAAGAATGGTTGACTCAATAAGCCAGTATTTCCTAACCCTCCTAAAGCTGTGACCCTTTAATTAGTTCTTAATGTTGTGGTGACCCCCCAACCATAAAATTATTTCATTGCTACTTCATAACTGTAATTTTTCTCCTGTTATGAATCATATTCGAATAACTATGTTTTCCAATGGTCTTAGGTGACTCCTCCCCTCAGATGCAATCCCCCTCAAGTTCGTGCTTTATACTAGGTCTAGGGTTTCCTCATGAACTCGCACTTCAGCCAACCAGGTGGTAGCTGATGCCATTTTACCAGCTGAGCTCTTCCTGCGCCCTCAGCTCATTACTAAGCTTTTATAATGCCACGTAAGGGCTCTTAAAACTGCTGCAGTCACACTCTGCTAAGAGGACGCCTCCTGAAAACATATCAGGCTCATTTCATCATCCATCAAGCATTTGTGTGTGTGCTCAAGCTGCAGGGTCACGAGGCCATGTCACCTCAAGGTGCCATCAGAGCAGAATTTTTCAGACTGAGCCTTCTTCTGCAGCGCCTAGCTCATTCCCATCAGCATCGTCCCTTAATCTAACAGAACAAAAGAGTTTGGGATGTAGATCAATGACAGAGCACTTGCTTGGCAAGAACGAGGTCCTGGGTTCAGTCTCTGGCACCAGGAGGGAATTCTTTTTTTACTTACTTTTATTTAATTAAGTGTATGCATGTTGAGCATAGGTGCACACGGATGCTATTGCCGAAGAGCTCAGAAGAGGGTATCAGATCCCCTGGAGCCGCAGCAACAGTGAGTTCTGAGCAGCCGGTGTGAGGCCTCGAAACCAAACTCAGGTCATCTGGAAGCTCGGGGAGTACTCTCAACCACTAAGCCGTCTTTCTAGCCTCGGGGATAAAATTCTTAATGCTAAACGTGCTTACAACATGTCATTTTTCTCATTGTAAAGTCTCTAACGTGCATCTGGCCATCGGATACGCACTCCAAACACGGCAATAATGAAAACACCTCTTAGGATGTTTCTAGATGGGTCAGCAATTTTTTTCAAAATCTATCTGACTTTCCTTATGGGCTTTTGATATTATACATCATAATTCAGAGTTTAAGGATAGACTATTAAAAAATAGTTCAGAAAATACTTGTAAGTAGTTGTTGGGAGGGGCTGCAGGAGAGAGAGCTCAGTCAGTGAGTACTTCCTGTGCAAGTACGAGGACCTGAGTTGTTTTACAGGGTTGTGTGTGCACATGCGTGTGTGCACACAAATGCACACATTACATGGGTGTCCTTCTCTATCTTTCTCATCTGTTTCACTGAGGCATGGTCTCTCTCTGAACCCAGAGCTCATATCCTGGCCAGGGTGGAAGCCAGCAAACCCCACCAATCCTCTTGCCTCTGATCTCCTTGGACCTAGAGTGACAGACAAGGGGCTGCACTCTTATAACTGAAGCATTTGAGAAGACACAGTCAGGAAGATCCCTGGAGCTTGATGGCCGGATGGCTTAACTTAATTGGTGAACCTCTGGGCGCAGTGAGAGACCATCTCAAAAGACAGCATGGAAGGCTTCCGAGGAAGGACACTGGGGATTGCCTTCTGGCCTCTACATGTAGACAACCACAAATAATTGGGAACCAATGGATTTCTGGGGGTTTTTACGGGCAGGAAAAACACATCATGACAGAATATTGTCCTTTCTTTTCTACTGCAGATACATGGCCATTATTCACCCCCTCCAGCCCCGGCTGTCGGCCACCGCTACCAAAGTGGTCATCTTTGTCATCTGGGTCCTGGCTCTCCTGCTGGCCTTTCCCCAGGGTTACTACTCCACCACGGAGACCATGCCCAGCAGAGTCGTGTGTATGATCGAGTGGCCAGAGCATCCCCACAGGACTTACGAGAAAGCGTGAGTAGAAATCTGCTTGCCCTGACTTCTTCCTTCTTCTGTGTTTGTTCATCAATGAAGGTTTTACATATGTCTGCCTGCCATTTGTGAGATATGTCCATTGCTATCTGGGGAGGGTACGCCCCTTCCAATACTGTGAGCGTTGTATTAAAAATGTTAAGACCTAGTTCCCATCACGTGTTCCTGGACAACAGTCTCCCACAACTTCTTGGGGTGCCCCACCACCACTCTTGGCCCTTTTATCTAAGTTGCTTCCCAGACAGCATGTGTGTTTTCTCAATGCCACTGTGGCAGGCACAGCGTACTGGAAGTTGGGAATATCTCTACTCCAGTCCCTCTCACGAGTAACCTGCTCCCCGCTCCCCTCTGATACAACCTCTCTGAGGCATGTGTTTCACACTGCGATTTCTTCATGCAGTTCGGCGGCCATTGCTCAGGTGGCTGCCAGTACCACAGCAAAAACGTTATAGGCCGCCCCTCTTTTCTATATACCACAGCCCTGCTCCCTGTACCCTCTCTTCCTCCTGCAAACAATGTCACTGCCAGTGAATCTTTATCTCATCAGCTGTCTCTAGGGAAGCATCAATTCAGATCCTGTCAGGGGTTTACAGTGTGAGAAATGAGGCATCTCCATCCAGATGTGAGCATGGACAGCTCTTCGGTGTCTAGGGGTTGCAGAGCCCCTACGTACGAGCAGGCAGGCTTGTCTTGTAGGAGCAGGGCGGGTCCCAGGCAGGCTTTTTCAACATGTCTCAGTAATTTTCCCTGATGCTTCTTGCCCTGGAGCCAACACTGAAATGGTTTATTCTTTACCTCTCTCTGCCCAGTTGAATGGTGATGTGAAATTTATCTGAGCATCCATTTTGTGGACCGAGAGCACATGAATAAAGGAGGGTCTTTTGGAAAACCCCCTATAATTCTCCAATTTCAGACTTGTTATTCAAACCAAAAAAAAAAAAAAAAACACTGATGTTAGAGACAGAACACCTGAGTTTTTAATTATGAACTGCCACTGGGACCACAGGCAGGGATCCCAGCATCTCCTCTTTTCTAAAGTTGAAGAAAATAAAACCCTGTTTCCTGTAAACAAGTGCCATGACTATCAGATGCAATGATGCATAGCTCCCATTGCAAGCTATTAAATGTCATATAGGACTTATGGACCAAATTCATCGGATAGCAACGCAATTGTGTGGCCTTTAAATTTACTAAATGCTAAGATAAAACATGGTATCTGTCATGCCACTTAGATCTGAGAGTTCCGAATCCTGTCACACAGCTCCTCTGGTGTGTCTGTTACATGGAACATGGAAATGTGGCTTGCAAGGAAGCAATGTGTAAGACTGAGACAATGGCCCTCCAGGCTCCAACAATGTGATCTAATCCATCAAGCAGGGGAGGGCGGAGACACTATAACATAAGTCTTTCCGTGAAGCTACAGCATGAACAAAGGTCTCAGTGGGACAAAGAGGATGACTCCACCAACTGTACCAGATCCGTGAACATAATCCAGCCAGGTTTCCTCCAGGCAGGGAGGGAAACACCTCAGAGTTTACATTCCTCACTAAAAAGGAAAACAAAACAAAATACTTCAGAAATCTCCACCTACCAAGGCCTGCCCTAAGTTCTCATGATATTCTCGAAGTCGGGTCACTCCCTGCTAGCTTGCTTACAAGACACCCGCAACTTCTTTCATCTTACTGCAAAGTTAAAGTTGGACTCAAAGCAGGCTTCTCTTCCCACACAACTGTGGGGCTTTCACCAATAGACAGTGATGCTTAGCGGCTTGCTTGTGAACATCTTGGAGGCTTGTTTTTATTGATCACTAGAAATTTCCTTCGAGACTCAATGCAATGCATTGATGGTCATCTTTCCTAATTTGAGGAGCACAGAGGAGAAACTGTGGGTTGTGTGGGTAGGGGTGCCGTCACTGTTTATGTTCCCGTGGTCACCGTTAGAGTTTCATTCCATCACTGTAATAAACACTCTGACCAAAAGAAACTTAGGGATGTATAGGACTTGTTTGGCTTACACTTCCAGGTCACAGTCCCTCATTGAGGGAACTCAAGGCAGAAGCCTGAAGAAGAAAGCGTAGAGGAACACTGATTACTGACCCACGCTTTGGCTCCCTCTTTGCCTGCTTTCTTATATAGCTCAGGAGCATCTGCCCAGGGAATGGTGCTTCCCACATTGGGCTGGGCCCTTCCATATCAATTAAGACAATGAGGACAGTCCCTTACAGACAGGCCAACCTGAAAAAGACAATAATTCAATTGTGATTCTTTTTGGATGATTCTAGGTTTTGTCAAATTTCTGATTAATAAATAGATAGTCCCAAAAAGCATGACCCTGAGTTATGAGAAACTGAGATTATTTACTCAAGAGATATACAACACTTTTATTTCCCAATACAAAGTTTAAAAAAAATCTATTTGCCCTTCATGCACACATTGACTGCAATATCAACCTAATTCGAGTTGCATATCACATTTTCCACGTTAAGGGCTATTTTCTGTGTGACAATATCCTCTATAATTTATTATGCAATATTTCCAGATTTTAACATATTTACTTAAGCACTTAACTTTATTCTTTTCTTCTAGAACTAATAATTGTCCTCTCCACAGTACACAATAATCCCAAAGTAGATGCTAGATGGAAACTTTGCTTTGAGGCATTGTGATAATTAAGATGAACATGTTGGCTCCAGTTCAGTGACAGATCAGCTCCTAGCCTTATCACTTTTAGTTCAACCATCAATGGTCAATTCCTTTAAGGCTTCAAGTCCGATGGTATGTTTCTCATAGATATGTGGGAAGAAATGGGGGTGATGGTTAATCCTTATTGTCAGTTTGACAAGAGTCAGGATCACCATGGAAACACATCTCTAGGTGTGAGGGTATCTCCATAAAGGTTTAACTGAGAAAGGAAGACCCAGTCTGAATATGGAAGGCAACATCCCATGAACCAAGACCTAGGACTGGATTAAGAGGAAGAAGCAAGCCGAGCACCAGCATTCATCCCTTTCTGCTTCTTGACTGTGGGTGCAGTGTGACCAACTGCCTCAGGCTCCTACCTCTATCCCTTCCCCTCATACTAAGCTGCAAACCCTTCCTTCCTTAAGCTGCTTTCTCCCAGGTATTTTTGTCACAGCCACAAGACACGTTACTAACATGAGAAGCAGATGACTCCCATGAAATGTCGAGCCCAGGGCCCCGCCTGTGGCAAGGGTCTGCTGATAGAAGCAACATTCATTGATTCATTGCTGGGGTAGACAGTTCGCTGAGCAGATGCTTAGACCCAGCTCCTCTAATAGGTCATTTGTGATAGCAAATTAATTACATAGAAGCATTGTGCAAAATATCAGAAACACCTTCTGACTACATGGTGAACTTCAAAAGCTAACCAACATTCAGATTCTTGGATAATACACAAATTCAGTAAAGAACTGTGAAGGACAAACAGCCCAAATGAACTGAGTATTAGACACGCTCATGGCAAAAATGGTTCAGACAGCCAACTGGTCTATCAAGAGGTACCCAACTTAATTCAGGACACTGTAACTATACTTCTTGAATTTGATGGTTGTAGCATCTGTATTGGCTTAAAAGTTGTTCATAGGAACAGATAACTTGACTTATTTGGGCACTGTATATTTTTGTATTTTAACCTAAAATTAAATGCAACACAAATATTCTTATTGATACAAGCTCTTAAGATGTTTTCTCTAGGATGAGCCAAAATATTCTACCTAGAATAAATTGAAGCATTTTCTTGGGAGGTGTAGCTTCTGCCTGTGCTGACGCTCCTTACAGGAACTTGCCTCTGAATTGATCACATCAGAAGGAACTCATCTATTCTCTCATCTCCTGGACCTCTTGCTTTTGCTTCGCTGACTCCTATGAGTCGTTTCGCCTTGAGTTTTCCCATCCAGCTAAAGAAAGACAAGGCGAATTCTTGTCCTTAAGGGACACATCTTTACTGGTGCTCTCTTCATGGGCAGGAGATTCTGGACCACAAAACTCTGCAGATGTGAAGACATGCACCTTCCACAAAGCCATTTGCAATCTTATTTAAAGCTTCTGTTGTGCAGCACAACAGAAGCTTCTGTGTGTCTCCAGTCATGCCTGTCCCATCCTTTACTAACCTGATGTCTTAGTTTGTTTTCTACTTCTGTGATAAAAATCAGGACCAAAGTAAGTTGGGAAGGAAAGGGTTTATTTTGACCTCATGTCTGGCTCTACTTACTCTTTTATGCCACCCAGAACCACCTGCCTAGGCACGGTGCCACCCACCATGGAATGAGCATTCTCACATCAACTGTTAATCAAGGAAACACCCTCACAAACTCTCCCATAATCCAATCTAATGGGTGCATTCTTTCAACCGAAGGTCCCTTTCTCAGACATCTCTGGTTTATGTCAAGTTGACAAAATCCAACCAGCCTATATACAGATAAATATTCTTCCAGATGTCTCCTCATTTCTTTTGGGAAAACGTATTTATATGAGTCAGCACAAATATAGTCTCCCTCTTACAACACAAACACAACTTATTATGCACATTACTCTGCATCCTAATTTTTATCTTATCAACATGTCTTGAAATCTTTCTGTGCCGACACACAAAGAGCTTCTCTGCTCTTTTCCAGTGACATGGTTCTACTCTTTAAATGTACAACACGATTTCCACAGTCATTAATTGGTGGGGATTGGATTGCTCTTAACTATTGGCTATGTCACTGTGAATAACCTTACATCCATCATGTATGGATATCAAAAGTATAAAATACCAAAGTGGAAAGTGCATTTTTAATTTTAATATTTTCTCTCTGTACAGAATTGTGTCAAGGTACTTTCTCACCAGTAATGTGCGAGAATCTCTGCTCCTCTGCATACCAATGAAGTATATTGTCAAGGTTTTAGAATTTTGCCCAGCTGGTATGGAAATATGGTATCTCGTTAAAGCTAAAACGTATGTCTTATGTCATGAATGAGCTT